ATAGAGCCAAAGATGTTAGAATTGTGTCGATGTCCCAATATTTCTGGACCTGACTGTATCATATACATGTTAAATTGTGTTGTAAGTACAAGTAAATATTGTAAGTTACAAGTAAATACAAGTAAAATTGTAAGTTAAAGAATTTGGAGTGAAAAATTAATACAGTAAAGTATGATACAATTTATATAAGATAACTAAATGATTGTTTAGAATAAACAACCAAATTAGATTGGTAAAATTACCAGTGTAAAATATAGAAAGCCATTACAATACTAAACACTCTGGAAAAGTTATAATTAATACTATTATTATATTTAGAGAAAATGTAGTGAGGTAATGTATAAAGAAGAAGAATACATAAGGAGTGATTATGGTTTCAAAACTAAAAGTTAGAGTCCAATTATAGTGATTATCTATATTGTTAAAATGATTCTGGCAGCTAATGAAATCAAGATAAAAACAAGATTCAATTGACAGTAAGGACATAAAACATTGATATAAAGTAGAAACTAAATGGAAAGCTGCATTTGAAATGTTTCCAAACAGAAAATATCTAGGAAATGTTTGAAGAGAAATTATGGTGCATTGTACAAACTATGGAACAGTATTTGGCTGTACTGTAATCACTGAAGTAGAATCAGATTCGTCTGATAGTAGTAACTTGAGATAGAAAGAATCAGAGTGACCAGGGTGTTTTGGTGGTGAGTGGAAATAGTAATTCCTGGCAAGTGTCAGCATAGAGGGAGCAATATAATATAACATGTTCCAGCATTTCAGTTGCTCCTCCACCGCATGGGCACAATCTCCACTCAAAAGGGACGTTTCAGTATCTCTCTTCAATAACTGCTGTTGGGAGGGCATTGAATCTAGCCAAGGACAAATCCCTTCTAAATTTAGGGGTTGTTATGCAACTGAGTTTTCTCGCTGGGTGAAGTAAATGTGTGGAGTGGGTCAGAAGGATGTTTCTGGGCAAGACTGACAAATCTGATTGCAGCTCTATGTCGATGGCACATTGTTTGAGATTGGCTAGTGCACATTCGTAGCCCATCAGGGTGATGGCTGCCCATGAGAAGCCATAGGATTTTAATTTTTCATGTATTGCCTGACACCAGGGAAACTGGAAGCTGTCAGTCATAATTAAAGGGACCAAGCCGATATATATGTCAGAATTAATTTTGTTCTAGAGTCAAGTGAAACTTCATTGGTTCCATGGGGCTTCTGAGCAGGTGTAAAATCAGCTGATAGGGATCAAAATGCTGTATCATTGGTTCTGGAGATAAGACACTGGAGCTGACTTTCAGATCCCTGTGGAAGATGTCTTTTGCCATGCGTAAAGCTCAATACTAATCTGTAAACTAACTGAGATTTCAATCGATTTTTATTCTCCATGGCATATTAGCTATCTTTCTTCTTCCAAACATTGTTTGGGATATCCTACTTCTATAGTTTCTGCTATTGGATTAGCACACAGCATGAAATGCTGCCTGTCTGAACAGCTGGGAAAATCTGTTCAATACAAGTGATATCATTGGATGTGGAGAGAACCTGATATGGAAGAAAAGTGCTTGAAATCAGATGGACACATAAGGTTTCATCAGTTTCTGAGCTGTATCTTTGCATCAAGCTGAGAAACATCTTTTTCTCCATTCGTGGATTATACCTGTCCGTTCCATTTCAAACATGTAGGAGGAATGGCATTAGCTATCCCTTTTTATGCAAAGTTGGTTTCTCCTGCTTTATAATCATAATTGGCAGAGAAGGAGGATTAAGCTGGTCTGTTTAAAGGGCATGGAATGTCAGTCATAATGATCATAAGCAGTAGCCAAGGAATTCTAATATACTTTTTAGAGAATGGGGAAAGAGTGGGAAGGTTGCTCATCTTTCAGGTATATGTAGTCCTCGGTTAACAACCGTTTGTTTAACGACAGTTTGAAATTACAACTGCCTCAGAAAAGGTGCTTTGCAACCTGTAGTTGCACTTACAACCATCGCAAATCATTGCACCCCCCTGCAGTCACGTGATTGTGATTTGCGACCTTTTTTACGACAGTCATTAAGCAAATCATGTGGTCATTAAATGAATTCCAGCAAAAAATGTCCATTGGGGAAGCTGGATTTACTTAACGACCATGTGATTTGCTTAACGACTGCGGTGATGCACTTTATGACATTGTAAAAATAGTTGTAAAATCGGGTCCGGTCATGAGGTGACTCACTTAATAACTGCCCTACTTAACGACCAATTTTCCAGTCCCTATTGTGGTTGTTAAGCGAGGACTACTTGTAATGTAACATATCCCAGGCCTTTAACCCTATTTGAATGCATTTCTTTTTGTAGGTATGTTTGAAGTACTATGAACATGAATTCGTAGAACTAGCATGTCAGTGTCCAGCTGTAGTTTGCTGCCGATGTTCTCCCACCCAAAAAGCCCACATTGTAAAATTGTTGCAGCATCACACAGGCAAACGTACATGTGCAATAGGTTAGTATCAACTTGGTTTCATTTCTCTTGTGAAAGTAATGAATTATGTGGCCTCTTAGTCACAATAATGAAAAATAAATGAATGTTTTAAAAAAGATTGCCACAGTATCATGTAAAAGTAAATTGATGATATGACAATCCTTCTTAAAAAAAAATAATGCTAAAGATAATGAAGGAAAGTTTTTTCACTTCATTTTTTCAAGATTTTTACTAAAACAAATCAAGTACAATTAAATCTCAGAACAATTACTGGCCAGCATTTGAAATCATCAGCCAGTATTTTATTGGACTATGCAGAGCTTTGGATTTGAAGGCCAAAAGTTGGTTTAGAGTGCATAGGGGCGCAAATGCAGGACCTGCCTGCACATCCTTTAAGCACTGATGAGATCCCACTAATCCCGGTATTAAGTGGGATCCCAGGAAAAGATGCATGTCATTTAAGCTGTTGCACCCCTATGTGCTCCAAAGTACATTTATGCCTTTCATTTTAAAGTATTGCATGGCCCTAATAATTTCCACATTTCCATTAAGATAACAACATTTGTTACTTCATAGGCTGGCATCATGAGCCTTTTTGGATTTTCAGATACTCAAGGAAGTCAATACACACCAGGATAACGTCGTCATTACCCTCTACTAAACCTTGTCCACAATTAATTTCTACACAAGTGCAGCATACCTGGCTATGGTAGAGATAGACAAGTGCATTTAAATCAAAAGAGTATGTATGATGGCCCTTAAATAGCTGGCAAGGGGGAGCTATTGCTTTTTTCTAAATTTTGTAATATCTCCTTTTAGTTAATAGAACAGTTTTGGATGTAGCCCCCAGAATCATGGAAAAATGATGATGATAATGCCCTGCACAGTACATGATCAGTGACATCCTCAACCATCACAGGTGATGACCATATTGGCTCTGTACTACACAATCTTTTCCCTGGCACTTTGGCATCTAGTGACATGTTGAGTCAGGAGCCGTAGTAACTCCTTCCAACTTCTTGCTCGCTGAAACAGGCTATTGTGCTCAATCACCAATTTCTGTATCATTCGCTGAACTATAATTTACATATAGAAAATTGGAAAATCATTTTAGCAACAAAGGTGCAATCGTTTGTAATGTACCTACTTTTCATTTTGCTTTCCTACACTGAAAAAATAAAACCACTTTTAATTTAAAATGTAATTCAGATAACTTTATACTAATTCAAGGTGAAACGATATGCAGCTAGTAAATATGAAACATTTGCCAAGCCAAACTTAAATATTCTGCACATTTATGTTTTTTCAGGTGATGGAGGAAATGATGTCAGTATGATCCAGGCAGCAGATTGTGGAATTGGAATTGAAGGAAAGGTATATTTACAAACTAGATTAAATGTGCACTTAATAATAATATCTTAGAATTAACAGCTTCAAGTTATAGACAGTGTGATTTGTGGTAATCATGCAAACAGACTTCTCTTGTGCAACAAATGTTTTCATTTTCTTTCTCTTTCTTATGGTCTCTGAAATAAGACATATGGTTTTTCTGGTTGTGCATAAAATTATAAAACTTGAACTTCTTTCATGGGACCTCACTCCTTTAGTACCACTCTATATACTGGTATGATTTCTGCCCCTCCCTGAGTTCCTGTTTCTGTACTATATAACACATTAGAATTCTCAGACTTTCTAAATAATTTTATTTAATTTGCTCCATTGGTCTGATTGGCCTTTTTCTCAGAGTCATTTTACATTTTTGTTTCATTCTTGTCTGGCTTTATTCTTCACCTTTGCAAATTTTTTGTGAAGCCTTTTGCCAGATCAATTATGTGGCCTCTAAGGCCACACTTAGAAAACGTCACACATATAGTAGCAAGCTCCCATCCTTCAGTGAGGATTCCCTGTGTCTGCTTTGCTTAAGTGAGCAGCACATAATTGATTCGTGCTTTCACTGAACAGGTCAGATACAGCAGGTCCTCAAGATTTCAAGCCTCTCTCTGGAAGAAGGTTTTCTATCCAGTAGATAATAAACCTTGATTCCCAGTCTGTATAATCACAGTCTGTAAGTCCAGGTTCCCCAACATATCTCTTTTGCAGAAGCAGCTGCTTGAGAATGGGATCTTTGCTACCTCATTTAACACAAATCAGCTTCCTAAACCTGTTGCCTGGAATAAGCCCAACCCTAGCAAAAGCAAGAAAAAGAAGAAATCTAAGTCCCAAGAATCAGCTAAGGGGTTTTGTGTTGGTTTTGGAGGTTATATCCTTATTGGCAGTATTGCCATCATCAATACCATTCTTCTTCATTATGATCTTGGTGATTCATATTCATAAGATATGTGCCCATAAAATGCCCTATTCAGCAGAATCTAAATGTTACAGAATTTTGTAGTAGGAGTCTTGTCTCCGTGTGTGCTAGGGATTTGTTGTTGTTGTTTAGTCGTTAAGTCGTGTCCGACTCTTCGTGACCCCATGAACCA